TAAAATTGCAACCATGACAAAAACACATCTTTGAAAAGATACTTACTTATATTTTTAAGAATTTGGGCAAAATGAAATAATGGTTAAAACAGTGTAGTAGTTTCACATACTAATGATGTGACAGTCTTCAGGGAAAAAATATCTAAATCAGTCTGGAACAGACAGATTCTAATGAGACAGAGCTGGGCTCTGATATGGGCTACAAGACAGGATGGCAGGCATAGCTACACAGTATAACATGGTGTAAAGACATGTCAGAACCTTTTATTTTTACTTGAACTTTCCATATGCAGAAAAACATACTACTGATTGCTGTCAGTTCTGGCTACTTCAAGCACATGAATGATGGTGTACCTTCACCAGGTAGCCAATAAACCAACACTACTGTAGTTAAGGAGTTTTTTCCTATTAAGTTTTACACATCAGAACTGGTAAAATATCATTTGAATGATCACCAGCCAACTTACTTTAAATACAATTAATTAAGTTGTTTATTGTCAAAGATCAAATTTTAAAAACCTTAGAGAACTAGAGAGTTCAAGAGTTTGCAATTCCTTGAAATTATCATTAAATGTATTAATAAGTAAAAAAAGAAAGTCCATTGCACACATATTGAATATGATATTAATATCAAAGATCCTCTAAGTATAGATCTGTAATTAAGTTAATACTTGATTCACTTTTCAACAGAATAATGGCAATGCTGTTGTGGCAAGTACATTTCTCTCCCTCTCAGGATTTTTCATAGAGGTGTACAGAGAGAAATGAAAGAGAAAAAAAATTTCTATTTCTGTTCTTTGTTTTTCTTATGTAGAATGTGTTTAGAGAATTGTTTCTCTGGAGTGAGTGCTTGATTACATTTTCATGGAGATTGTTTGAGCCTAATATCCAATCCAATCCACCTGTGTCTAGACTCTCAAGAGAGGGTGATGAGTTGTATTAGAGTTAGAGAAAGTAGTATGTAGTTTTAATATCTTGTTTTTTATATAATATATTAATGTATTTTAGCCATAGTTATAATAAAGAAATCATTCAGCCTTCTGAATTGAGTCAGACATCATCATTTCTTCCCATTGGGTTCACCTGCAATTACAATATGCTGTCAAGTGTAGGATGGTAAAAGGAAACAGTGCAAGTGGACCAGAGTTGAAACTCCAAAGATCTTGCAGAGGCATAGTCTCCATCCTAAGATATGCTTTGGAAGAACAAAATTAACATTGTTTACATTTAAGGAAGACAATGAGAAAAGTTTCTCCAATTGCTCAGCCAGACACATATAGTCTCAACGTCAATAATATACTAAGTTTTAGAACAAATACAGAATAGAAAACTTCATAAATTTTGTGTGTGCTTGGAAAATGGGAGAAAGTAATCAGGATTTACCAGAATTTGACTGTACCTAGCTAACTTCACTCTTTCTTTCAACAAGCCATGTGAATTTTTCAACTTATTAGCTAGATCAAGTCTACACATCACTCTGAAGAATCTAAATCAGATGAACCTCTAAATGAGAATCTAAGTGAAATGAGGAATCTATTAGTTAAGAAGCAAATGCTTAGCAAATAGGCAACAAGAGTTGCCAGATGGAGTAACATATATAGCTTAAAGGGTATATGAGGAGTAATGGTGAAAAGAAAACTTTAGGATAAAGGAGTTTACTAAGACGTGATCAGCCATGGGACCCATCAAATAGTATTATCACCAATCTTAAATATCATCACCAATAATCTAGAAATTAGAAAGGAAGTTAACAAAATTAAGGACATGAACTTGGACAGCACACTTTAGCAGACAACCAACATACAAACTAAATAATAGAAATTGTATCAACATCTCTGAATGGCCATGCAGAAATGTCCATTTCTCCCCTGTGATTATAAAGGTACACTTGCTCCCCAAGATAAATACTTAGGGTAGGAAGGTATGTACACTAGAAACCATGACACCATCTGATGCAGTCACAGGGAGAGCACACGATATCGGTCAAGGTATTTCCAGCAGGGAAAATGGTCAGCATCAGCGTAATGTCCACATAGAAAACTTGAAAAAGTCCTCCTGTGGAGCTCTTTGAGCCCTGGAGTACCACCAATCTTTCTGTTCAGTCAAGCCCAGGAAAGGTGGATTCAGGCTGAGAGCAGCCCTGACAATCCCAATCACAATGGTTAGAGGAATGGTCTCTCAACAGTGAAGAGTTTGAAAGAGTTTGGCTAGTTTAGCTTGGAAAAAAGACAGCAAGAGAGGGCAGGGAAGAATGTCAGGGAAGAATGTCAGGCACACTCACTGAACACAGGTCTCAGTCTCAGAAGCATCAGGAACAAAAACTAACAGACTAAAGAAATTCTGTGTGCAAATTAGAAGTAAACTGAATAACACAGAAACAAGACATCAGCATACTCTTCATAAGGTTTACAGTAAATGTCTCATTGTAAGCAAAAAATAATCAAGAAATGCTCATTTCCCCTTTGAAATCAATCGTAACAATGAAATAATTGACCTTAGAAGGATAGAATATACTTGTATCTATCCTATCTGTTATGCCCTAAGATGGCCCAGGCCTAAGAAAGTTGATTTTCATCTTGAAGAATTGAAGTTCAAGTCTATGTACTGCTATAGGGTGACACATTTTATTATATATGTTATGCTACTGAAATAAATTCAGAAACTGTATTTCATTTAATTTCATAGAAGCAATTTCCTCATAAGCAAAATCCAACAATATTTCAATATACAGAACAATAGTATCTTGCATATAGAGGCAAAGGCATCAGAACTGACCAATTCAATGTAAGTTAAAATGTAAGGGAGTGCTGTTATATTGCATTTCCTCTGGTTTATAAATCTGTCTACCACTACTTGCCAAACACCACCTCCAGCAGAAACAAGCTTGACCACTTGCCTGTCAAATATAACACCACTTCCCTAACAAGAGTATCCAAAAAAAGACTGTGAAACTTAAACATATGGAGAAGAGGAAGGGCTAATGAATGAAAATGGCAAGAGTTTACAATATCCTTAGTGATGAAAAATTATATCTGCACTTAAAATGTGAGTAGGCAATGCAGAGTGTAACAAAAAATCATTTTTGCAAGAATTATGGGACATGGAAAACACAATCCACTACTAAGACCAAATAACTGATGAGCCCAAGGCAGTTCTCTCACCCTATCCTTAGTTTGTTCTTTTTTTGATCAGCAAGTTCCACCGTCTGTCTGCACAGAACAGTGAGAATTTCCACAGCAAGGTCCTCTGCTGCTTATTCTTACACAGAGGTACACACAGGTTTTCTGTGCACCACCTGTTACCTTTTGTGTGAACCAAGAACATATTCTGGGATTTCTATATTTAGGATAATACACTGTATTCTGTTTCCACATTATCCCCCAAATCTAAATGCACCCAAAATAATGCAAGAACATCACGTCCCACTCCAAACTTGCCAGTAATGTCTTGCTCCCCTATCTATTTTCTATGTTATACAGCCACAACACCACAATCAGAAGTTTTAATCCACTAAAATAATTTCATTTCTTATTTCTAATATACAACATCATTTTTCATCTGTAGTAAAGAAGAAAACAAATATTAATATCCTTCTCAACTATAGAATTTTTTGGAACAGAAATATCAGATTTACCATGTGAATGCATGTGTACTTCCACGAAGGTGAACATATTAAGGAAAACATGAAAGAAAATCAAACTTCAAATTCATCATTTTCCATTGGAAATCTTTACAAACATGCACTTTCAGTGGAATTTTAATATGCTTTCATCCTAGCAAGTTTTCTCATAGAAAAATCTGATCAGAATATACTTGTGTATAATAAATCTTGCCGTATAGCAAGATCAAGTTTTATTTGCCTTATTACTAACCATACAGAATTGGTGTCACATCAGGGCATGATATTCTAAAGAGTTTCTCACTTCTAAAGATAAGTATAAAAATTTCACAGCTGCAAAATTGGTAAGGGTGGGGGTTACATAAAAATGCTGAAACAAAACTTTCTAGAAACTCGGGGAAATACAGAAGTGAATCCTTCTCAGCTTTCCCATTCCCAAAGCCCTTTCAAAGCCCTTCCCCCACCACACCTGCACGGTAGCAACAGGTATATTCTGAAGCCACATTCTATGCTACATCTGACAGAAATTGAGGCTCTTTTTTCACAACTAAAGTTTTATTGTGTATTACTGAAAAAAAAAAAAAAAACAAATAAAAAGGATAATGGAAATTTAGGTTGCAAAGCATGACTTAAAATTCTTTCATTTCCAGGCTTACACACTGCACAGTACCACCAATTAAATCAAACCTGTGGTTTGAAAACAAATTAAATGCTTCTAAGGTTCCGTTCCTAACATAGCATAGCTATTATGAAGCCTTTTAGTACTGTAACGCTAAGAAAAATGCATTTATGTTCATATCACACATGCTCACAAACAGGGGAGCCCTGTTAATAAGTGACTATACAAAGAAAACTGACCGGTTTGTAGCAGAGAGGACGAAATCCTGTCCTCACAGAAATCAGCAGCAAATTCCAATTGGTGTTGATATTGGCAACAGCATCCATTTTTTTCTGCCATTGTGAAGAATACAACCAAAAGAAATAAGTATTTTCTAGGCTCCTTCAGAGATGAACTATCTATTTCTTGTACCACTAAAATTTTTTTAAAAAATTTTAAAAGTGGATTAAAATCACCAGTGAAACTTAAGTTCTGTCTTATAATGATGGTGGGTAAACAGGACTTTTCTATGAGTCCTGATTCACTCCTAGATATCTTGAAGAACACAGGAATGGTGCATTTTTACTGGAAAGTTGTGTATATGTTTCGTTGTTCCCCTTCTTTTTGTGTAAAGCTGCAGACAGAACACAGAACATGGACATGAGCAGGACTTTTTAACAAGAGTATAAACCTTCATACAATTTGCAGAGAAGCCTTCTAAAAAGAAAAAATAGGCCAATTTATCCCTCAGATTCAGACACACAATCACATGAATCAGGATTAATGAACATACCTATTTTATAATATTCCCAAAGGATACATTTGCTTTCTCTTATCCTCTGTACAACTCATCTGAAGTCAGTAATACAGATCTTGGCTCTGCATGTCCAAAATACAGCCATGAACACAGCTCCTTCATTTACTGTAAGTTCAGGCATGCAATTTCAAAAGCAGTTAATGCCTTTAACACCAGCAGGCAATGAAGAAAATATTTCTGCAACTGATCCTAACACAGGGTGTTGTCCCATAATACATAGTTGCTGTTTTTTCTACCCATTAGGCTTTCCTTTTCCTTAAAAGATTAGGCTGAATGTTGTAGGCACATCCTCACATCATGTCCTTCTCCAAAGGTGTCGAATGCAAAAGTCCTGCTGATTTAAGAACTGAGGCTGAATTAGTAATCCCAGTGCTTCAGGAATTCATTTAGAAGTTGCGGCTATATGGTCTTTAAGGCAATAAGAGAAAGGAACAAAACACAGTGAATTCATGTTACGCGTACTCCAGAAGATCCTTTTTGTTCTTTATTTTTTCTTGTAAGTTGACTTTACACTCTATAACCAACAGAGTAAATTAATTATCCCAAAGGATGCAGACCAAAGGATGGGACCACTTATCCATTTTTTTTGTAAATCCAAGTGCATTAACCAGTGAATTGATATTGTAAAATCTCAGGGATCCAATATCTGCCACAATTCCCAAAAGGAAAGGTAATATGATGCCTTTTCTTGTTGCATTGTATTTTAAGGTGAAGGCAATGCATAAGTGGTTCGCTTAGCTTCTTGACAGTACTTTCCAGCTTTTCCAAGGCAACATCTCATATTCAAGAATATTCACCAGTTACAGCCAGAAAATAGGGTGGAGACTTGGAGATTTTGCTAAAAACAATTAGCAGTACTAAAACAATTATGCATTATATTCAATATCATATACCACTTGACTGTGGGAACTTGCTTAACTGAGGTGGCAATGCCAGGTTTTCCTACACACTTCCTCTCTGTACTGAGGTTGTGCACTTTCTTATCTACCTGCTGTCTGCAGCCTCCTGACTTCCCCAGAGCCAAAGAAGTTAAACTCAAAACATGTATTGCAAAAAAAACAAAGACTGTAGGTCACTAATGGAAACAAAAAAAATGTTAAAGCATTTTCCCCAACAAAATGAATAAAGCAGTTACAATTACAAGAGGCAGCTCACATTCCTTACAAAATTCAGCACCCTTCCTAAACCTTAGACCATGTACATGTTTTGCTCTTACATTATCACTAGCACAGCAGGGCTGTTATTCTCCTATGAGCATATTTTTAACAGACAGATACCCATAATTTTATTCTATTCTTCTGTATGGATATATTCTGGCTTGTATCCTTGTATGAACAAATGACTCTCTATTCATTATACACACTGCAGGTATCTTCCCATTCCCACATGAAGAAAGCCTTTGAAAGACTAATGCTGCTGCAAAAGCATGAAACCTCAATGCAGATGGCACCCATCTTGCAGACCATCTCATAGCATCCAGATTCCTGCCCCTCACTTGAACAGAGTTCCTCTAAGGATGTTGCTAAGGATGGAGAAAAATTTTCTGTCTGAGATCTCTTTATGGAGATGCCACCAAAACCTGTGGATTGTGAGATTCATACACTAACTTACTCAAGTACTTTAATATAGCTGAAATTGTAAAAATTACTTGATACCAAGTTCTGCTTTGGAGTCCAAACCCTGAGGTGTGCAAAGAGCTAGTTACATCTCAGATAGAAAGTTGGACCCCCACGACAAAGCCAGGTACAGATGATCATGGAGCAGCCATAATGCAGAGCACAAAGAATAATTTTTCTCCCTCCAGTAAACCCATATCTTCTACAGACAAGCAAGGAAGGCTGTCAGCTACCCAGATCCAGCTTTTTATTTCTCCATTACTAGAGTCTTCTTGTGAATTGCATATCAGGAAATTGCTTATAAAAGATTTCTGTAATGACAACAGGACCTTTATGGTCCTGTTCAGCTCAAAGCACAGCAGACCATGCAGTAGTGAGCACTGAAGGCAGTATGTTGTATTGTACATCTGCAAGGGGAATTATATTTTCAATATACTACTTACACTAAGCCACCTTCTTGAGGACCCAGTCCTCAAGTCCCCCTCGTGTACACAAAAGATTTTTCTTGCTTGAAGCAGCATATGTTAGCAAGAGCAAGGCTGTATCTAACGCCACATACCAGGCAGACTAGGAAAGCAGTCTTTGCCCCTGAGGCCATGAAGTGGAAGAGCTGTAGGAAGGTAAACACTAGGAACTGCTCTCTTCATATTTACACACATATGAGACAAATAATCTCCAGGTGTATTTCAGTTACACAAAATCAAATCTTAACTTTTTAAACAAGTCTCTGATACACCAACTATTTGCCCATTTGAATGGTGTGTGCAGTCGTTCATTACATGAACTGCAAGAGATAATCCACTCCAAAGTTATTCATGCAGTAGAACGGTTTGTCTTTAGTGTAGTCATGATACAACCGGATGTGAATCAAAAAGAGCTTCACTCTGCAAATAACATACAAAGAAATACGTTATGACATTGAGGAAACACGGAAAATCAAAAATATTCGCTTCACTGGAGGAATCATTCATGCTACTGGAAAAGACTTAAAGTATTAGACTAACAAATCAAGACTTCATTTCCAAGGGAAGAAACAGCAACCAGCTTTTTCATAGTTTTTGGATGGAGCTGTCTGCTGAGGTTTGTATCTGCACAACAGTATTAAAAGCACACCACACAGCACATACACCACCATGAACTAGCAGGTCTATACAAATACTTTTTTTAGAAAGCAGAGTATTTTAGAAAGCACAATTTCGAATTCCAAGGGTGCCGTGTGCAAACGCAACTTGCATTTTACCAGTCCTTCTTTTCTATGTACATTTCACAGAGACGTAATCGGATGTATAAAACGCTACAAACGTGGCATAAAACAACCAGTTCTCCTCCTTAAACAAAACTTTAAGCTTGTAATTACACGATTTTGACATATGGCTTTGCAAAATTACTGATTAACTAGGATCACTCGATCGGATCAAGCAGAAGCGCCTGCTTCGTTTTCAATCAAGTTCCGCTACGGAGGGAGGGAAAATCGCACAAACACGCGAGCATGTGCGCATGGGGCGGTGGGCACCGCGTGGAAGAAACGCTTCTTCGGAGGCAGAGGGGCGCAGCGCGGGTTTCGGCACGCCCGGACAGGGGGAGCCGCATCCCCCTCCCCGCGGCCGGCGGCAGCGGCGCTGGGCAGACGCAGGGGAAACAAAGCCGCCGCTGCCGCCGCGCCTCCCGACCCTCTCCCGCCGGGACTGCCGCGCTCCGCCGCCCCGGTGCGCGGTCTGGCAGCAGGGTCGCACCGTCCCCTCCCCGCCCTGCGGAAGGCGCGCCGGGCGGGGGGGCGGGCGGCTCTGCCCGCAGCACCGCACCGCTTCGCGCCGCCGCAGCGCCACTCACCGCGCCGCCCGTGCCCCGCCGAGCCGCGCCGGCGGTGTGCGGGCGCGTCGGGCGGCAGCAGGTGCCGCGGAGGAGGTAGCGGGGGCGGGCGGTGCTGGCGAGCCAACCGGGGCCCGGCGCGGCGCCGTGAGTCACTAGCGGGCGCGCAGGGCGGCCGGGCGGCTGCTATAAGAGCGCCGCGGGGACGGCCTCCCCCCGTGTATGTCTCCGGCTGCCGCCTCTGCTCCTCGGCTCTCCGCCCGCAGCGCCTGCCTGCCCGCGCACCCTGTCCCCGGCGCGGCGATGCGGCTGGACCGGGAGCCCGGAGACCCGAGCGCCTCGGCCGCCAGGCGCGGCGCGGAGCGGCGGGGGGCTCCGCGCTGCTGGGCGCTGCTGCTGCTGCTCGCCCTTGGCTGCCTGCGCGCCGCCGCCGACGGTGAGTGCGGGGCCGGGGGAGCGGGCTGGGGCCCGCACCGCCGGGGCGGCTCCCGCCGCTGCGCCCCGCGGCGATCCCGTCTCCCACCGCCCTTCCCTTTTGCCTGGCTCTCGTTATTTTCTCCCGCTCTTTCGGCCTGCCTGCCCGCTGCCCCGGGGTACCGGGTGAACCGGGGCGGGCCCGGGTGAACAGGGGGGCGCTGCCGCCGCGCCGGCCCCGCCGCCCCCCGTGCCGGGCGAGGCGCCGCCTTCCCCCCGGGGCCCCGGGAGCGGTGAGGGGGGACCGAGCCCGAGAGCCACCCGCCGGCTGCGGGAGGGGCCCGGCTTCCTGTTCGGTACTGAGAAGGAGGGTCTGAAGGGCTGGGGCTAACGCGAGAGCGCCGAGGAGGATTGGGGCTCTGTTTTGGGGGGGAAAGAGGAGCGCTTGGGAAGCTCGCGGCGTTAAAGGTGCTGTCAAACTGCGGTGCAACTTAGGCTTTGTGTTCAGCGTTGTTGGCATGGCTCTTGTTCGGGGTCTGGGGTAACCACCGTGAGGGATCTCCACCTGGTGGCAAGGCTGGGTGCCTGCTCCCGGGGCTGGGCGCTCGCCAGAAGCGCTGCCCGTGGCCAGCTCCCGGGCCGCCTCCCGGCGTAGAAACTGTTGCCCCTATTGGCAGGGGTCCTGCACACTGAGACAGTTGGATGGTTATTTAAAAATATTTTAGTCCTAAGTGGAGATAGTAATCATTTGGCTGACTCCTGTCTTCCCTGAGGACCTGAGCTTCAGCCTGCTCTCCTAGGTAGGAGGTGGGCAGTTGAGGTCTTCATTGTTGTATGGCTCTTAAATCTCCTGACTGTTGTCCTAAAGTAGGCCTAAGTGTCTGATCCTGGCAGTATTTTCTGTAACAGTGTGCAGTAGTTCAGACTCCAGGTATGTTGGGAAGAGTCCCACCAGCACGTTGTTGTGTCCAGTCCTCATACAAAGAGAGAGGACAAATATCCGCTTAGTCACTCTTGTCTCCCGTGCCTGCTCTGCAACAGGCATGGTTAACAGTTGTCAAATGAAGGACCAAGCTGGCTGGCACTTAAACTGCTACTTCACTGTGCTCAGAAGTCATCACAAGAGATATGCAGTGGAGGGTAATTAGTAGGCTAGTTAGCCAAGTTATTTTGATTGTTCTTTCACTTTGAGTTAGTGGTCTCACAGCTCTCTTCTATTAGCAGTTGCAATTGCCAGGGTTTGGGAAAAGTCTAAGCTAGCTCCTATATGAGGTCTCGAAGTGTTTCCCAATCGCGGTTGGAAGCTTTTCTGGGACTTGGTGTCAGATGACAGTACACAAGTGTCACATGTTTGATGCTGACCAGAAAAGTAACCTGCCGACTTGCTTAAGGGGCTGAAACGAACAGTGGTAGCAGAGATATTGAGAAAGGTAATTTAACTTGAGTAGTCAGTGTAACTGTGTGCCTTCACCCTACACCCTATTGCTGCTTACGAGCCAGCTTCTAGTAAGTAAGTTACCTGGGGAACAGTAAAATAATATGTGTTAGCAATCACAGGCTCTGATGTTACTGGTTCTTGACATTTTTCAGCCTAAGCTGTATTCCAAGGAAGAGAAAATGTGTGAAGGTGCTTCTACTGTAAGAAGAGCACATAAAGAGAAGCTTTGAGTTAGTGGCTAATTGATGCTGATCCAAAAATCATTAGGTGTCAAGTAACTGAAGCTGCAGCTGAGGTATGACTCCATTGCTTTAAATAGCAGTGGATTAGACTGGTAGTATCTAACCAAATAGGTTACCTGGCATTGTAGACTGGTGCTTGGTGTAGGACAGGGGATCAGAGTTACTGACTGTAACTAACCATCTTAACTGGAGCTCATTTCACGTCTGTTAGAGTCTGACAGACATCTTCAGGGGCAGTAAGCAGATGCTGACCTCTACCTTTGTGCACCTGTGTAGGTGTTAGGTCTTGTCGATTTTTTGACTTGTTTGTGGGTTAAAAGTAGTGCTCTGACATTTCACTTGGTATCAGCTGCAGAAGCAATGATGTATTCTTAGAATGGCTTGTTGCTAGGATTGTAATTGTAAAGTTACAGCTGTTACTCCAAGCTCAGCTATGGTTTCTGTTAGCCTTGTGTGTAGCTTCCCTGTAGTATTTGATCAAAATGGTGTTACATTTGTAAGACACAATGTTCTAGGCAGCCTTAGAAAGCCTTTTCTGGTTATTCTAGCTTGAAACAGAGTAACTAAGGGCCATGGAATTATTTTGGGATCTCCTTAGTGGCAGGCTTAGTCTAATATCTCTGTATGCTATTTTGGGAAAGGTTGACTGTTCTCACTGTGAACGCTTGGATGAGGAAGTCCTGAAACTAGCAGGAGTCAGTTGTTGCATATTTTATGTAGTAGTGAAATATGTGACCAGGACTCACAACTCTAACCTTCTTTTAGAGGTTGCTGGCCAACAAGGTATCAGGCTTAGAACAAGCTTCTAATTGTAGCATCTACTCGCACTCTGTAGTGGCTGGGGTGTGCTGTCTAGCTCAAGGCGAGCGAATTGATTGACAGCTCATGACCAAGTAGCAGTAGCTTTACAAAACCCATGCTATTAGGAAGCATATGCTGGTGTAATTCCCAACCAGAGAAGGAAATAGGAATAAAAACAGTATACACAAAAGCTGCTGATGTTCTGATCTTTGGTACTTTTTGAACACAGTTCCCATTAAAAAGTTAACTTTGTTCTAACAACTGGGTTACTGCTTTACTCCTTCAGTAAGGCTACTAAAACGTTAGCAGAACATTTTTGATCATGGATTTGCATGAGACATTCAGCAGACAAAATTGATCATATTGTTCTTTCTTCTACTGTTCAGCATTTGTTAGTACCTCATGTGTGGTGGCTAGCCAATATAATGTAAAATGTCCGAGTACCTTCCTTCTGCTTGGAAACTGTCTTGCATTTTGCATGGCATACAGAGAGGATATAAAAATAGCAAATAATACTCTACTAAAATTTTATGCCCTTTGAGCTCTGGAATGCCAGGACAAAGCACTCTCACTAAATGATGCAATAAACCAAGAAGGATCAGGAGTCTTGCATCATGCTGTAGGCATGTGCAGCCAATACTGATGCACAATCTTACACACTTTTCTGTGTGCATTAAGTGGAACAACTCTGGCTTAGCTGCTGAAAATGCAGGCTGCTGCTTTCAGTGACAGTTATAACAGGGCTTCCAAGACAAAGCATGTTCCCATGAGGGATGGGTCATACACTTATAGAGCTGAAATACACTGAAAAATGCACTCTAACGATCTTACAGAAAGTAGTACCTTACTCAAACATACTAGCAAATCAAGACTTACCAGTTGTGAAACAATGGACTTCATTCTAGAATGAAGTGATGAATTACATTGCTCTTTTAGCATCACATTTCTTTTGATCTATACCAAGGAATGTCTCTGAATGCCACTGTTGGATGAGTAACATGGAGCATGAAAACTTGCTCAGCTACAAAGCAGTTATCTCAGCTATAAAGCAGCTACCTTTACAGATGTCTTGGGGATTCTCCTGTAATGTGTTAGCAGCAAAGCACTGACATGCTAATCCAACTTGACATTAATCAAATTTAAACCAAATATGTCAAAAGTTGGAAGAGTTTTGAGACTGTGATGCTAGGTGTGAGACAGCAAAAGTAATTGTGGGCACACATTTTTGCAGGCTTGACCTTGAAGTGGAAAACTGAGTAAGAATAGCACTGAGACTGCTGCTGTTTGGCAGGTGGATGGTTATTGTACTGTGAAGTAAAGCTTTTGGTCCTACTTCCATGATTCAATAAGGTGATTGCAAAAATTTGGAGCTCAGATCTGGTTTCATGTTGATGTTATGCTCTTGATTAGGCTGGGTAACTTCTCGATCAGTGGGTAAAGTGAGAAGGTATTGCTTAACAGTATTGGGCTTAGGTTCCTTTTTTCATTGAAGGTGCGAGAGCAAAATGTGAAGAATCCCAGTTTGCATGTGGTAATGGACGCTGTATTCCTCAAATCTGGAAATGTGATGGTGATGAAGACTGTTTAGATGGCAGTGATGAGAGTGCTTGTGGTAAGTAATCAAAATAACACCTCTATAGTAGTACTTGCTAATTGGAAGTGAGGACTTAACTGTAGATAGCTGGAGAGATACTTGTCGTGCCCAGCATTTCTGGCAGTTGGAATACAAAGACAAATTTCTTAGAATAACGACTACTGATTCCTTGTACCCATCTGAGGCAATTTAATTTTCCTGTGTTATCTAACTCTCCTGAAACTGGCAACTGAGACAAAGCTTGTGACCAAAATTCTTCACTTTTGAGAGTGATGACTGACAGGAACAGAATATAAGCCTGTTCTCTGTTGTTTCTTGAATACATAATAGAAAATGTTTGCTATTAGCACTCTGCTGTTGGCTATTCCATGGCTAAAAGCCCTGTTTTATATGTGAAAGTGATTCTGCTGTGTCTCCTGTAAACATTAAGCCTAGCTTTGGCTGCCAACCCTTGCTTTAAGCAGACATAGAAGCTAAGATAGATGACTAGATTTACTTGGAGACCAGGCAAATCATACTCTATATCCATCACCGCTGTGGTTGAACTGCCAGTTCCTCAGGCAGACCTAAACCATTACCCTAGAGTTACACAGTACCATGCTTCTGTAATGACAAATCAAATGCCTAGACTATAAACTCAGAGTTCAAAACCTAAATGTTAATATCAACAGACCTTATTTTAACTCAGGTCTGTTCAAAGCAGCAGCTAATATAAACTAACCTGCATAGTAGTCCTTCAGCGTCTTATTAGATTAATACAAATATTTCACTATACATGGAATAACTCTGTAGGAAGTATTATAATATATAATAACTCTGTAGGAAGAATACTCTGTAGGAAGTATTCAACAGTGCTTTTACTAGGTTGGTGGTGGGGGATGACACCATGCATCCACAAACCAAGGATGTTGAATAACTTTCTAGGGCAACAAAGCTGATCCCTGTTAGCAATAAATAAGCTAAGCTCTGGTCCCTAAACAAGCGTCTTTTTCTCCCTTGCAGTGAAGAAAACATGTGCCGAATCTGACTTTGTGTGCCTCAGTGGTCAATGTGTGCCTAACAGATGGCAGTGTGATGGGGATCCGGACTGTGAGGATGGGTCTGATGAGAGTTCTGAACTGTGCCGTAAGTGAACCTGGCATTGTGCTGTAGCCAAGCCTGTGGGGAGGAGCATTTTGACTTCCTGCCTGCTTGCAGTCTGGCTATCCTCCTGAAGCAGGGATGCACTTGTCTTGGGGAGCACCTTCCTAGGTGCTTGGCCCTGTCAGGGACTTGAGGAGAGTTTTCACTGCTTAGAAAGATCCAGAACTGAAGGGGCACTCTTGCACTGGTAAGAGATAGCAAATACCAGGTTTTGCTCACAGTCAGAAGCAGCAAGTAGAACATGGCAGGCCTGACCATCACTGTGGCTTGTCCACCAAGTGATTGCTGTTCTCCAAGGCAGCTACTTTGCAAGTGCAGCCCCAATACTACAGAGCTAATGTAGGGACTGAGTATCTGACTGCATGTTGGGTGTGGGAAGCAGTAGTGCACAGACTGTGAAGTTGCAGGATTAGCAGCTCTAGTCTGAAGTATCATAACTCATCAAACAATATAGATCCAGGAGATGTCATTTTCCTGTATCAATAGGATCCACATTGGGGAATATTTCAGCCCAAGTCCTAGCACACTTTGGCATTACTCCTCCCTACTACTATTTGTTGTAGCTCAAGCTGCTACAGCGTAATTGTCATGCAAACACAAAGCTACTAGTACCAAAGGTACCCTTAAAATATTGATCTCTTAGGAATTGGAAACATCTTTTTTAACTGAAGACTACAGAACAGTATAGCCTTTTCCATCAATCTATAGAGATGTTGGCATCTAAATAACTGCAATTTTGTCTAGACCTGAAGGCTTTCAGTCTCAATTTTCAGCACAAATGCTGGTGCCCAAGATCAGTGGCTCCTAGATTGAGCTTAAACTTTTTTTCAATAGACACGAGAACATGCCGGGTAAATGAAATCAGCTGTGGTCCTCAGTCAACTCAGTGTATCCCAGTGTCCTGGAAATGTGATGGTGAAAAAGACTGTGACAGTGAAGAAGATGAACAGAATTGTGGTAAGGAGAGAAATGGTGGTTGCGTAACTCTGTTTGAAATTGACTTGTCTGGAAAGGAGCTAGCTGGGCAGTACATCTGGGAAGATAAATTTTTGATAGTATCAATATCTCTCCTACATTAGTCTTGTTCTGCGGCTACTTAAAGCAAACTTTTTCTAACAGTTCTCTATCCTGCTAAATTAATAGCTACAATAATGTAAGCTTTTTAATGTGTGTCTTTTTTGTCTGCTAATTTTGGTAGTAGCCATAGGCAGGCTTAGTCACCTGGCAAGCCAACTGTCAGAACTTGTTTTCTGGAGAGTTTCTGAAATTGCTGCTTACATTAACAAATTATCTCCTAAAAGTGCAGTTGCAAGTTTTAGCTAAGGGCATAGCTAATCTACTTGATAGTACTATCCTGAAATATTTGTGAAGCTGGATTTCTGATGTTTGGGTGGCTGGGGGGAGGGGGAAACTTCAGGATGGTACACAAGTAAAGCTACCACTGCAGCATTAGAGTGCAGCATTCCTGCCTTATTTCTGAGGTGTCCTGAGACATACTTGCTGTAACCAAAGCCACAGTGCTGGTGCTTCCATTGGAACAACCTTACCTGGATGGCCTAATGAGATGCAGATCTCCAGAATTTTGCTATGTGTCTGTGGAGTTCCCATCTTATTCAGCAAACTAATGCCTTAATCTACAAGTAAATCTACAGACAGTGTTTCTAATGAAGTTGTTAAAACTATTAGCCTAGACAATACATATGCCTCTGTATTGTAGGTATAATACATACAATGTAGCTATTAGCTACATTGCTGTTAAACCAGCATGATTTGTACTGATGTAAATTGCATGGGTGTGTTTAACCACGGGATCAACTCTGTCACGATCTTGGTCTGTTGTCACTTCTGGTCCAGGCAAATGGGCACTGCTGTCCTGGGGACCAGCACAAAACACTTCAATTTCAAACTACAGTACTTGATGACCATAAGACTACCTTAATCTAAGTCTGTACTCTTGAGTTAGCATTTCTTTTACCTTATGTCTTTGGTTCACAGGGTTAGACCCTGTTTTCTGAAAGATTTGAAATCTGAAGTGCAGGACATCCTAGCTACTTCAGAAGGCTATTTTCACCCAGTAGTTCAAATCTGATGCCTATCACTTAGAATGTCCAAAGGCAATGAGGATGGTCTGTGAAACCCAAGTGTCCTGTAGATGGTCATTTAGGCTTCCCTATTGCCTTATACAGGATGCTGATCTTGTGTCAGCTAGCAGCTGCAAAACAAAATATCTTCACACAAAGGTGTGAAGTGACAATGTACTAATCACTCTTACTCCCATCATTCCAGGCAATGTGACTTGTAGTCCAGCAGACTTCACATGCAGCAGTGGGCAATGTATTTCCAAGAGCTTTGTCTGCAATGGTCAAGATGACTGCAGCGATGGTAGCGATGAGCTGGAGTGTGCCCCTCCTACCTGTGGCGTTCATGAGTTCCAGTGCAAGACCTCAACTTGCATTCCCCTCAGCTGGGTGTGTGATGATGATGCTGACTGCTCTGACCACTCAGATGAGTCTCTAGAGCAATGTGGCCGCCAGCCTGCGCCTTCTGTGAAGTGCTCTGCCAGTGAGGTGCAGTGTGGCTCAGGTGAATGTATCCATAAAAAGTGGCGCTGTGATGGAGATCCTGACTGCAAGGATGGAAGTGATGAAATCAACTGCCGTAAGTTCACATGGTCCTTTTCTAGGAGGTGCTGCTTGGCTCCTCTTTTATTTCTTTTGCTTCAGTAAACCTCAAGGGTAAAAGTCTGTAATGGCTGTGTCCTCAGCTTCTCGGACCTGCAGACCAGACCAGTTCAGATGTGAAGATGGGAACTGCATCCATGGGAGTAGGCAGTGCAATGGTGTGAGAGATTGTCTGGATGGCACAGATGAAGCAAATTGTAACAATGGTGAGTGTGGAACTGAGCAAGAACAAAGTTGTTGCAGAATATCTGTTGAAGCTGGTAGTCACCTTCACAATCTTCATTATGTCAGTTATTCAGTGCTCTGGACCCGGCAAATTCAAGTGCAGAAGTGGAGAATGCATAGATATCAATAAAGTGTGTAACCAGCAGAGAGACTGCAAGGACTGGAGTGATGAGCCCCTCAAGGAGTGTAGTAAGTGAATAAACTGTTTGCACAATGCTGACTACTAGATATACTTGGATATAGCCTCTGAGAGTCGTCAGATGTTAGCTGGAATGCCTGTTGTCACTTCTTGGTGGCAAAATTACAACTGAGACCAACCTAGTTCATAAGCTAGTTTTATCCTAGCTAAACTGGCTGATAGGATGGTTTCTCTGTAGTCAGGAAAGCACTTGAATGTATTAGAAACATTGAAACTTCAGGAAACTCAGTCTTTATTGCTGCCTGTTTGTAGGTGCTGGTAGCTGAGTGAATGTGAATTTGAGGGGTTCTCTTGCATATGGCTTGGAGTGCCAGAACAGTAGCAGATCATTTATCAGATGTGGCAAGCATTGTTAGGAAGTGGATGCGTACCTGGAAAAGTGCTCCATGGCTAAGACTATAAAGCTAAACATGCATGCCTTCTCAGAAGTGGCCAATTCTCTCTTCTAGACATCAATGAATGTCTCGTGAACAATGGTGGATGCTCTCATATCTGCAGAGATCTTGTTATTGGCTATGAATGTGACTGTCCAGCTGGGTTTGAGCTTCTGGACAGGAGAACCTGTGGTGGTAAGTATCTAGTAGTTTAACATGGACTCTACTGTGATATTGGAGGTGAGCATAAATTAAATTTTTTGTTTTTACAGATATTGATGAATGTCAGAACCCTGGTATATGTAGTCAGATCTGTATCAACCTGAAAGGGGGCTACAAATGTGAATGTAGCCGTGGCTATCAGATGGATCTTGCTACTGGGGTGTGCAAGGCAGTTGGTGAGTGTTGGCATGACTTTTATAGCCCCACTTTAAAATGAGTCAGCAGATGATGCACTGTTTATACTACTGTGGTTTTTACAGTAGCTATTATGGTACTATTAGCTGCCTGACATAAACTGCTTGTGTCTGCTCCTTGGGCAGAAGGATCCTCCCCATAAAGTTGTAGAGGGAGAAAAGGATGAGGTATGGTACAGTCAAGACCTCTGTCAGTATCTGCTACCAAGGGTGGAGTGGCAAATACTAAATATGATGACTCTTTAAACTTTTTATAAAAGTATGTGGCTGAATATCTAGAAGTACAGATAACAAACTCTTTTCACAGGGAAAGAACCAAGTCTAATTTTCACCAACCGCCGGGACATAAGGAAGATTGGCCTTGAGAGAAAAGAATACATACAGCTTGTAGAGCAGCTAAGAAACTCTATAGCTCTAGATGCTGATATTGCTGAGCAAAAACTTTACTGGGCAGACTTCAGCCAAAAAGCAATCTTCAGGTAAATGGGCTTATCTTCTCAACCTAGTGTACTTCCCTAAACCATCCCACGGTTTTACCCAAGCTATTTCTCTAGTTTCTGGTAATGAAAACTAGATTCCTGGTGTCCTAAAGACAAAGTACAGTTGATACAAGCTCCCACAGCTACCAATGTGTATGCCTGTTGCACTTCCTAGTAACTGCTGCTACATTTGTACAAAAGGCACTCTCTTGAAAGTCCCACATGCATCTTCTGCCTGAAATCTTGTGCAGTATTTGCTGGGGTGTACCAAGGGATAGTATCTGCAGTGGAAGTGGTTGAAAGCAAGTAATTATTGTCTTCCAGTGCCTCTATTGATACCCGTGATAAAGTTGGAACACACATCAGAATCCTGGACAACATACACAGCCCTGCAGGAATTGCTGTTGACTGGGTTTATAAGAACATCTACTGGTCGGACTCAACTGCAAAGACCATTTCAGTGGCTAGCCTAGATGGCACAAAAAGAAAGGTTTTGTTTCTCTCTGAGCTGAGAGAGCCAGCTTCTATTGCTGTAGATCCTATCTCTGGGTGAGTATTTGTCCAGGTTCTTTTAGAAGAGTGGACCTACCAACTACATGTTCTGATAACTGACTTAGGTAGCCTTTGTTAGTTATTGGTCATAATAAAGAGTGATACTACACAGTACTATAGTGCATCATACAACATAAATTCTGCTTCACAGCTTTATGTACTGGTCAGACTGGGGTGAGCCAGCAAAAATTGAAAAAGCAGGAATGAATGGATTTGACAGACAGCAGCTTGTGACAACAGAAATCCAATGGCCTAATGGAATTGCTCTAGGTATGTTGAACTTGTCTCTGCCAGAGGTATTCTGGAGCTTTAGCAATTTTTTTGCTACAAAAGCCAAGGTCTTTCTTCAGAGAACTATTCTCAGCTTCTGAGAAAGGGAAGCTTCTGTACGCCTGAAGACAGGTATCAGCACTTCTCAGATACTGAAATAGTAACTTTTCCTGAACTGCTCTATGTTATAGTTGAGACACAGGCCGCATAGGCATCACTGCAGCAGCCCTCTATATCTTGGAATGGTGAGAAACTAGGGCAACACTACCACCATTCTCAAACCTGTGCGTGTTTCAATTCTTGCAGCAAGCTTTGGAGGTTTCCTCCATGTGGACACTAAATATATTTGATCTTTTCTCCCTCCTAGATCTTGTAAAAAGCCGCTTGTACTGGCTTGATTCTAAACTACACATGCTGTCAAGTGTGGACTTGAATGGCCAGGATCGTAGAATTGTGCTGAAGTCACATATGTTCCTTCCTCATCCTCTTGCTCTAACCATTTTTGAAGTAAGAATGACTTTCTATAGTCATTGTCAAAGATCCTCTTCTTGCTGGTATGAGGCTGATGGCATCATGGAGGTAATGGGATGCAATGACACTGTCTTCTAGGACCGTGTGTACTGGATTGATGGAGAGAATGAGGCAGTCTATGGGGCCAACAAATTTACTGGAAACGATTTGGTTACACTAGTGAACAACCTCAATGATGCACAGGACATCATTGTGTATCATGAACTTGTTCAGCCTTCAGGTAATTCCAATGCAGTTTATAGTTAAGTCAGTGCTTTCTTGTAAGAAGCCTGCCCTGCCTGGATGGTATCCCTTCGCTGTAAAGCTTTCTATTCCTACTCCTGTTTGGGGCTTCTAACATAGGCAGCCCCATGGGGTTGAGAGGTCTAGTTGCAATTGCTCTTTCTTGGGCAGTGCAGATACGATTCTATATTCACCTGAGACAAGTAATTCTACTAAAACAATTACTGAGCAAATAGTTCTGCTTCACCCCTGAAGCATGAAGGCTCACTCTTGTTCACTCCTTAATTGCTGTACCAACAGGTAGGAACTGGTGTGAAGAGCACATGGCAAATGGAGGCTGTAGCTACCTATGCCTGCCTGCTCCTCAGATAAATGAACATTCTCCAAAGTACACCTGTGCATGTCCTGCTGGGTACTTCTTGCAGGAGGATGGTCTGAGATGTACAGGTACTGTAACACTACTGCAATCATTCCCAGGACGAATGGGGGAGGAGTAGGAGAGTATTGAACCTGTTAGGGGGAAGGAAATACTGTGCTATAGGCTAACAGCTTTTCTAAAATTAATCTGATGTAATTAATCTTGGAGGGGAGGGCCTTATGCATTAATATGGCCCTTAGAGTCTGCAGGTGCCATTCAAAGTCCATGCTTTGCTTCTGCGTGATCATCATCATTTGCAACAAGATCTTGTACCTCCATGGCTTTCTGCAGACAGCAAGCACAAGGACAAAGCATACTCAGGCTCTTATAGAACAGGGGTATAAACTAAGATGGCTGTACATATAAATACACAGGTCAAAAGGTGATTGGCTAATGTTGCTGTCCAAGGAAGTTTGTACCTCCCTTTCAGTCCAGATGAGCATGCTGCTGTACTACTGTTGTCAGCACTGACGATGCAGCAGGCTTGCTTTGTCCTGTGGAGTGGAACTAGAAACTCCAAGGTGCCACTGACTATATTGTACATTGATTCTGGCTGCCACAGAGTGCTAAATGCAAAGATGCTGGCTTCCCTTGGCTGCTCTAAAAGGTTGCTATGGGTATCAAAGGCTGTACCTAACCAGTAAACTTGTAAAACTAAAATCTTATTCAGAAAACCTTATGTGAGGCATGGGATGGCTTATGATAGTTGTGACTTTAAATGCTTGTAATTCATTCCTGATTAACTGTCTGGCCTTGTTCTTGGAACTATTTTTCATCAAGAACTCTCTGCTGAGGCTGTGCTAGTGAAATAGTTAATGTCAGTATTCCTGGTGGAGCTAAAAACCTGCATGACCATTTTTGCCATCTGCTGAACCTTCACTACCATGGCTCTCATAGCAAAGCCATTGCAGAATTTCAGGATTAACTGATCTATAATTAGTTCTTGATCTATAATTAGTTTCAGGTACTGGAACAACTGTGGCTTACACTGAGGCTAAAGATACCAGCACAACAGAAAAATCTCCAACTGTTGGACTAGTTCCTGGAGGTACTGGTCCCAATAACTCACACTGCTAAACATTAGAGAAATTAAATGCAAACTGACCAACTAGCCTACTTGGAAGTTTTTTCCTTTGCATGCAAGTAGAGAACACAGGCCAGATCACTTGTGTAGTGTAGCAGCTGGAGCATGTGTTAAACAGATTTAGTTCACATAGGACAGTGTAGAATCTGTAGGTTCCATGAAATCCCAGAAGTGCTCAGAGAAAGCAAGCAATAGAGAAGGCTTCTAACTAATACAGGGTGAAGCATGTTAGGCTGATCTAGCAGTGTCCTTATGAGAAGCTAATCAAATAGGAGCTTCTGGGTTTGGGAAATGCTTGCATATGACAGTCTGCCAACTTGTCAGTACACAAGCTCACTGCATCAAATTCTCATTCAGGATTCAACACTAGTGGTACAACCTCTGAAGTAACTGCAGCTGGAAGAACATCAGCAGCTTGGATCATTCTTCCTGCTGGTGAGTAGAGCATTTACTAGCCTTTTGGACCAAATGTGGTAGGACAAGCCACTCTTAGGAGCTTGGCTTTGCTCTACTCCATGTTTGCAATCTCTTTATCTCCTTGCAGTATTGTTGATGATGGCTGCAGCAGCTGGCTACTTCATGTGGCGTAACTGGCAGCACAAGAACATGAAAAGTATGAATTTTGATAATCCAGTTTACCTAAAAACCACAGAAGAGGACCTCACAATTGATATTGGAAGACACAGTGGTTCAGTAGGACACACCTACCCTGCAGTAAGTACACCTATTAACCTATTATGTCTGAGACTCCATGTTAATAATTGGAGTAGAAGGACTGCCAGATGATACCTGAATTGAATTTAGGAGAGGTCTCTGCTTTTGAAAGCTGCTGGCTGCAGGCACTACTGGGCTGAATCACTGACAACTTTACCCTATAATTAAGGTTAAAGCTGTGGTAGGTAACTAGTGTCTGTACCTGTGATGGAGTAATCTGTGCTGAATGTGGTCACTAGCCTGCAGAATTAGCAATGATGTGTGCTGCTTTGTCTTTTATTAGTACAACTGTAGCTAACTTTTACTTGCTTTTTTACAGATATCTGTTGTCAGCACAGATGATGATATGGCATGAGCACTGGATTAGCAATCACTTTCAGTTTACTTGTGTCTTACACTCCTTGGGGATAGTAACCAGGTTTGTGGCTGAAGGACTTCCTCCATTCTTGGAAGAAAGAAGATACTTTCTGTATTTATGGAACACTTGTGTAAATAGTTATTTTCTACAGCTTAACAACTCTGTAAATACCTGTCCACAACAATTCAGCTGTTAGTGGTTACAGTTTTATCAGTACAGTAACCCTTGGGTTGGTTAGTCAGTAACATCACTGACTAAATATAAAGCACTTTCCATAGAAAGCCATATTCCAGCCACAACTTGTAACACCTGTACATATGTCTATAGGCCACTTGTAAATAATTATTGGAAAATCACTATCAAGCACTTTGAAATACTTCAGATGTAAATTATTGTACACTCTCTTTTTCAATGATTGGGGCAATGGCAATAGGAAAAAACGGGTTATTATGATTGCCAAAAATTTGTAAACATAAGTAATTTTGTATGTATGATTGCTTCAGTCTTGTCTGTTACCTCTTAGAGGTCTACAAGAATGAATGATCTTTAAGAAACCACTGTAAAACTCAAATGCAGCCAAGGGGATAAAAATAAAACGAGTCAAGCAGTTTAAAGTATTGTTCTTGATTATTATGTTAGCACTGAAGTAAAATGATGCATCTCCTAAGTTGAAAGCTTTAGTAGGCTGCACTACCACTGCCAGCCAGATCATGAAGTATTTCTTCAATTATTTCAGCAGTATTCTAGGCAGCTAAGACACTTGCCACTTTGTTCTTGAGTCTAATAGTCTGCATGGAGTAATGGACAGAGTAGGTCTCCCATCAGAGAAACACAGCTGATCTCCTAAGTTAGGACTGACACAGGCTAAGATGACCCAGCTACAGCTGCTGTGCTTTGGGAGGCAGCACTGGCAGACATGCAAGATGGAGACGGGTCAGAGCGTGGTCTGCCAGGTGAGTGTGAGGTCCTTGCTGTGTCAGGTTATTGGCAGGTACTCCCATAACTTTTGCAGTTCGAGGTGCTACTTGACTCTTGCTAATCCTTCCCCCTTCAAGATAAGAAAGAAATGCTCATTGCTTAGTCTTGAAAAAAATTTCAAGGCTAAGATATCATTTGGAAGAAGCAATAATCTCTTGGTTATGCTTTAGTGATGACATGTTAAATCAGTCTCAATCAATGCTGTCTCTAAAATAGTAACAATGATAATCATCAAGTCAGAATTTGGATCAGTTCCTAGGCTTGCTTCTAATGCCTGTTCTCATTGCAGCTACAGCTGGAGTCTGTTCTCTTAATGGTCTTCTTGTGTTGTGGACTCCTTTATTAACAGATGAGGACAGTTGTCAACTTGTACAGATTTACAATAAGTTGTTTCTTGCAAGTTCACAACTCTTTGGGGAGCTGAAGCTTCTAACCAGCTATCTCTGGCAACTCTTGACTGCATGTATTTAAGATATCTGGAACTCGTGGACTAAATTGTCTTGCAAAGATTAGGATGTAAGGGGGCCTCTAAAGTTTTTGGCTAGCAATAATGCGTCTATTTTACCAAGTACCTTTTGGGATAAAGTGCCTTTCATAGCTTTGTAATATGTGAAGTTTGTTAGTTATGGGGTAGAATTCAACTTTTTCAGTTAAATTCCTAACTCTGGATACTCTGAAGTATTTGTGTCAAATGTAACAAAACGCAATCCTCAGTCAGACAATTAATTATAAATTCACATGGCAGCTAATTACAGGCAAAATGCTCTGCCTTCCCAGTCTTTGTACAGAACAGCTCTATTTTTTGATGAACTTCATTGCATTTACCAGTATCATACCAAATGGTATAAGGAGAGACCAGTAAGACCAATAAAGGCATTTCTTCCTGAGGTTAATATTTATTTGAAGTAGCAACTTAAGCCTATTTTGGGAACCTAAGGTAATTTTTACAGACACTGAGGACTCTAGGAATTTTATTTGTGACTTTACTCCAATGTGCTGAACAAAGAATAGTTTGTTTATTAAAATCTATTCCTATAGTCTAGAGGGGACTTAACACTTTACCAGATAAAACTTATATGGCTTCGTATGGCAGGAGGGGGAGGAGTGGGGAATATTAGGCAGTAGCAGGAGATGATACAAGATGGCCTGTACTTATTTGCAAATGTTGCTTGGTTTCTGGTCTCACTAAGTTTATTCTTTCCTGCCCCTCTTCATTTTTGTGTTATAAAATCATTGTTTACTTTCACAGCAGTCTTGGAGAGTGGTCAGAGATTCCTTCTGTAAAAACAGAAGATCCAACTTGCATTGACAAATACCTTCCTCTCTTTTAACAGTTTTTTCCCCTGCCACCTGCAAGTGTTTTACTGTCTTTTACTCCTCCTCATGTGACTCCTCTGGCATCTAGTGAAGGTGGTATAGCCATACTGAGCACTCCTACAGCAGCACCCTGTGGCTGTGCTGTTATCTGCTGTAGAAATTATCAGTCATTATCCCAGTTTCAGCTCCTCTACTGTAGTCTTGTGGTATCCCAGAGCAAAGGGACATTAATAACCTCTTTGGTCAGATTTCATATATGTTTACTTTATAGTCTTCCTGAAGAATTTTCTGCTTATAGATACAAAAATATGACTGTAGTTGGTTATTGAGGTAGTATCAAGGTAATGGTATGGTTTTTCCTTCCTAGAAAAATAAGCCCTCTGGTTCTAAATACTGCCTATTATTGTTCAGTGTCTGCTGGGCAATGTGAGAGCAAAGCTAAATTCGAATCTGGTTTTTTCTTTCCCTTGTAAACATGCATGTTTCTCTTAATGCACTCCCTTCCCTCTGCTCCCGTATTATTTTCTGCATCCTATTTGTTTTTATAGCACTGTAAATATTTTACATTATTGTTCAAAGGGAAAATAACATAAAGGGAATTGATGCTGCACATGTGATTTTCTTCCCCTTCTGCACCTTGTGCCTCTACAGCTAGCTACAATTTGCATTTTCAAACCTAACTTGTATTTGCCTACATTTTTAATGGACATACCTTGGTTTCCAATCAGATTTTTCTTGAAACAGCAAAGATGCATTTATCTATTTTTATGTAAGTGCTGAATCTTGCTAGATAAGAGAAGTACAGAAGCTAAGACTTAGGCTGGAAGAAGTAGTGTGAGAGTCCTCAGACAAATGAAAAAAGTATACATCTGCAGAAGCTCTCTTCACTTCACAACCTGACTATAAGTGGAGGTCTGCCAGTACTTTCTGTTGTTATGGCACAGCATGTCTGTGAGGAAATGTGCTCATGTTCCTTCTTTGAGCTGCCTCACAACAGTGGTTGGTATTGTCACTTACTGGAAGAAGGGTCTGTCTGCTCTGTTGAAGCCAACCTAATACATTCCTTGCTTGCTGGTTTTAGCTTTTCCTCTCCTGAAAGAGCTTTGAAATTTGCCCATATCAATGAAAAAATTTGTCAGAGCAGGGGAGGGACAGACAGGCTGTGCAATCAGTTAGGCTGCTGAATATTCAGGTTGTTAAACACCTAAAATAAAAATTGCCTGTGGAAAGAGTGATTGTCTTAATTCTCCTTGCACAAACCTGGCTGGGACACTTCCACACTGCTGTCAAGCAGTGGAAAATGCTTTATATCATACATTAAACCTCCACTCCCACACCAAACACCTAAACAGGCAACTGAAGGCTAACTTTACTAGCATACTCTTTGCTATGTAATAAATTGCTTGAAGATAGGAAACATGAAGCATTAAACCAAAACAAATTATTAGGAAAAAGACATTTCATAGACATGGATTTTTGCTGTGATTATGTCCTCTGTAGAAAAACTAGACAATTTTAAGGTAATTTTTCCCTCCTTCCAGAGACCCTTTCCTAGAGTTAAACTTCAAAATACATGGAAATGTTTTATCATACTGTCAGCACATAGACTTGAAGGTGACAGTTGTATAGCAATATAAAAATATTAACTTTACATCAGAACACTTGTTTCTTTCCAGTGAAAGTATTTTTGAAAGGCTGATCATTGAATACCAGTCAATGCCACAAGCATCTAGAAACAGTGCTGCATGTTCTAATGTCCCCTTTGTGGATGTGTGCAACTGAGAGGTGTGGTTTGGTTTAGACAGCTTATTCCTTTTTTGGGTCCTTAAATATGTGAGAGCTCATGTGTGCATTTAATTGAAGACTTTCTTGAAAGTTAGATTATAATTCCATAGTGTGTTGTGGCTGCTATTATCTAAGTAACAAATGCTGTGAGTTTCTAACTTTTTGGCTGATGCCTCTAGTGGTAAAAAAAATTAATGCCATTAACTTTCTACAAATAATGACTCTTAATGAAGCCTCAGTATGAAATTCAAGTTACATGTGCTATATTCACACAGGAGCAACTTGGTCATTCTGGTTTAACTAAAAGAAACTGATTATTCTTTAATTAGACAGCATTCAACCCACTAACCCTCTTCCCCCCACAACTTTTTTTTTTTGGTAGAGGACTAAGTGAAAGTCATTTAGGGGCAGAGGATGGATGGTGTCTGTAGAATTTATGTATAAATTGTTGGTTGTGATCTACACGCATTATCAAATTCCTGGTGCCAGGTAAAACCTGGTGATTTTTTAATTGTAGTATACCTATATTGTCTCAGAAACAGAGTTTGAAGAATTGCTTGGGTGAAAGTGGGTAGCTGGCATGATTGTAGCATATAAAGAGCTATTTCTTCATAGACCTTTGTCCTTCTGGCAGCCTCCACTGCTAGTTTAATTTATGTAAGTGAATGCGGAGAAAGAAAAGTTGTAAAACTGCTTCCTTACAGAGAGCATGATTCAAATGGTGTCATGAGAACTGCATTTCAGTATTTGATATAGTGCATCCATCTGAGAGAAGAACCACTCAAAAGAGCCATTTTTCACCATCTTAGGTTTCAGATGCAAATACCCCCTGACTGCTGAGGACTAATGTTTTGTTAGCTGTCTTTGTAATTTGAATGTCACAGGCAAGCAGTGGATGGTCCCAATTACATGATGTGTCTAAGGGTCCCTTGTTGACCATCAAGAATCTCTATCAGAAGGCTGTTTAGTGCTCCCTGTATAAGCATGACAGACATGACTTTAACTAGAAACTACCCCAAAACTTTCTTTTAGTGTTCGGCAGTTAAAAGGATCCATTCCAGAGTAGGCCTCTGCAAGTGGCTATGACGTATAGCTTTAATAATTAGACCTGGCATTCATTTTGTTCTTCTCATCTAACACTTCAGTAGTAGTTAGTTAATATAACACTAAGTGGCAGGTTTTTTACATGCTACTGTAGGGGCAACTGAGAAAATGAAGTTGCCTTTAAATTACCTCAGAATAGAATGAAGAAGGAAGTCAAGCAGCCAGCCTGGTCATTAGGAGCCTAACAATCACATTAATGAATCAGTGAAGAATTGAAATAATCACAACTTGTGTAAATCAATTATCTCCAAAGCCTGTTGCCCTGTAGGGAAGAAGAGAATCTTAACACTCTGCCTCAAGAGACAGGTCTGAGCCAGGGGTCTGCTGTGAGGAGCTCAATCCTCATCAGAGAATATTTCAGTATCTCTGGTGTGCTTAGATATGTGGCAGCTTCCCCTTTGCCTGTACTTCCTCTTTTAGTTGTTTTTTAGAAGACTCTTGATGCTGTAAAATAAGATCTTTAGTGTTAGTCATAATTCACAGGAGGAATCTGGCCTAAATTCATAACAATCAGAAGCAAGTGCGTGGGTAAATCCAAGAACAAAAGCAAGATATGCAAGAGCCCCCACTGCTCACATTGTAAAGGGCAGGGCAACCAAAATAGCAGACAAAAGTCGGGGAGCCCTCCATTAAGCCTGCAGCAACATCCCTAGGTGCTCCTTGAAGAAGGAGTCCCTGTCAGCAATCTGGATTTTATGGAAAGGCTCCAGTCCTCTTCTGAGAGCAGCGTGCAATGCCTGATCCATCTGTTGAAACAAAGGATCAAGGACTGATAATCAGGCAGAAGGACATCCTGTATTATTTAAGATTTCCAGAAATTAATATTAAAAGTGGAGCAATACACTGAAGACAAGAGCATAAAACCAATTTAAGTCAAAGGTGAAGCTGCCATATTAATTCTTCTTGCAGGGAATTGTTCTCAGTACAAGCTGTTAATTTATGAGCTGCATTAAATACCATTCTCAAGTTTGACCATAATGAAAGTCCAGAAGACTAGCTAGGTTCAGATGAGGATTAAAAGTGCCATTACTGGGCAGTAGCAGAGTATATACATTGCCAATTTTTTAATTTTGTTTCTTTGTATTTGTTACAAATAGGAAGGAAATCAAATTAATGTCTTTTCATCTTGACAAATTTGTGGCTTGATTTGCTAGGAGCTTACTGCTTTTAGAAGCAGTACACAGAGAAGTGTACTGACAAAGAGCCCAGTTCACTGGAGATAGGAAACAAAACTCAGAGTAATCCTCAGCCTGCCACAGAAGATAATGCCTTGCTCAGCAATTTATCTTAAGCACACAAGCTGACACAGCTACGAAGAGGAATTGTCACAGGATTCCTTCGCACTCCAGAGTTTCTGTGTGCCAGTCCATCATGTTTGATTGTTTAAGCTTCATGGACCTTAGAAGTATGACTAGACAATATAGTCCTGTGCTTTGTAAGGAGTTACAGCTGCCTTCAGATTAGGTATGTATGAAAGGCTATTAAATAGCTCATGTGCTAAGTGGAAAGTGTGTTGGACTCATTCTGCTATTTCCTTCCTGTTTCATCTAATGCAAATCTTTTCTATGCCTCAGCTTTCTCACTTGTACCAAGTCATGGAGCTATTGCAAACGTAAACCAGAGCATGTAAAGCTCTAGTGGAATGATGGGTACATGTGCATAGCAGTACTCATATGTAGAAGCACACTTGTATAAGCAGATTTCACTTAATAATGCCCAATGCCATGATATAACCAAATATTAGCAAAGACCTGAGGTGAGTTGTTCTGGTGTTCTGCCTCTGTATTTTTCTGATAGGCAGTGTAGATGATTGTCCTGGTTTTGGCCAAGGACAGGGTTAATTTTTGGCAACAGCCAAGAGGGGGAGTGGCCAGACCCTAATATTATACCATATCACCTCAGATCACTGCCAGGGCAGGCTAAGGGGCTCTTTCTTCCAAGAAGAGTGAGATTTCTGGGTGGGGAAGAGCTGGTTGGGATTCCTTGTGGGCTTTCCATGTAAATGATTTCTATGTCTTAAACATTTTGTTTTTAATATTGCTGTTACTGTTCATTTTCTTATTGCATTGCTGTTTCCAGTAAATTTTTCTTACCTCAACCTGATTTAAACCTTTCGTGCCTCTGATTCTCCTCTCCATGCTGCTGGAGTGGGAAGTACGAGGGGAAGGTGTGGTGCTTGCCAGAGGAAGCGGGGGAGTGAATGGCAATTTGGTTTGGGAGAGACTTGGTGGGAGCATTGAACTGGGGACTACCATTCCTAAACCACAGATATGTACCATAAGGATGTTTACTTCTCTGTTAGTTGTAAGATTTTGCATTAAGCATGCTATTCTAAAGAAGGGAAAACAGAAACATATGTATGAAGTTTAATCCAACCACATAAATTGTGTATATGTTCATTCTGCTAGACTTACTGCATTAGTAAGATGCATGTTTAAAAGAAATAGAAGGGGTAAGCACAGAATATTATGTCATTAAATGGATTTCAAATAGCCATGGAAAAATCCTTGGAGTTAATTTTATACAGCCTACTACTCAGAGCAGGGCTCCTTTCAAAGATAAATCAGGCTTATTGGCTGGGCAAGTTTTGAGTTTGCAACTTACATCAGACTTTATTACTCAGTTTTGATTAACATATCTTTATGTTGCTAGTTTCTTTTAGCAATGAGTTGACAAGGCTTTCTGGTACAAGGACACAACAAAAGGCATTGTTCTCTGAAAAAAGAAATGGATTCAAATGCAGATCTCAGCTATCAGAGTAAGAATGAGTTCTTTGGCACAACTAGCATAATGCTTTCAATGAAATAAATATATTTCAGGATCTGACTCCTGAAGCAAGGTTTATATGTTGATATGGTTAAGACTGAGTCTTTTTCTTAACTCACAGCCTCAGTCAGTAGCTCAAAGACTCATATTGTGCATATAGTCAGGTTACATGGGAAATCCAACAATAATCTGGATTTACTTTATGTTGTTTGGAAGTCTCATACACATGCCTACTGTACTGGTCATGCAATAACAGCATAAATACATTTTCAAAAGCTTCAAGCTAATAGTGTGAGAAAAGGCCTTAAGGACGTAGTGTTGCTGACCTTCAAATGTTTCTATTCAGTTTTATAGAACTATGCCACTAAGAATATTTTTTAAATCAAGATTTCTCTTAAACTTAACAAAGTTATGATACATTGCTGTGATTGTGACATTTACATTGTGATAGTGCTGAACCATCTATGTCCCGAAAAAGTGGAGAATTTATTAAAAGTGTAAGTTAAAGGAGAGAAAAGGCAAGTGTCTTGGGCTGATTAGTTGATTCATCCCAATGACAAAAAGTAAAAATCAACACAGCCTGTATCACTATACCATTTTGTCTTTGGGACAGAGGACTGGCATAGAAGCTGAATGTACTGTACCAATCTGCCCATCCTTTGCTGTGTTAAAGGAGGACAGGTGAATAAAATGTGTTATTAGAAAACTGCCTGGTGGCATTTAAAAAAGAAAATCAGTAATTTGTTAGCTCTGTGATAAAGCTGTAGTACTGAACATGTAAATGGTTTCCTGGCCTTGCCTGATTTGGTTCCAATCCTGCGCTGCCTCCTCCCTGGAAGCAGGCATTTTTCACTGCAACTGGTCTTTTTTAAAACAGTCATGAAGAAATGTTTCATTTCTGTGTTAATATTGCCACATGATGCTTTCATTTTTAGTTTCTACAGCGCTGATCTTTCTTCTCTACACACTCCTGAAGTCATTAACAAACACGAAAAGTCCAGGATAATCAGTTACATAGGAAGCAAGACATCAGAGTCAGTAACTTAGGAAGAGGCATCTTTCTGCTGGAAGCTATGTTGCTCCTGTATTGTTGATGACATCAAAGCAATCAAAGGGTTTTTTTTCTTCTCTGCTGAGTGTTTAGGTTTGTGCTTAAGTGCTGAGCGTTCATGTGCTGAAGAAATAAATTTCACTGGTAAGTTGACAGACCACTCCTCACCTGGCTTCCTTCCCCTTGCCCTTCTGCAGTAACACAGAAGGAGCAGAGATGGATCTGCAGGAGAAGGGAACAAATTTGGGGTGTGGTGTGGCAGGAGATCACACTTAACTGGAGCAATGCTGCAGCCTGGCAGACTCTTTGCTGAGTGGTCTCCTGTTGGTGCTGGGGAACTGGGACAGCCCTGAAGAAGCCAAGGAGCACAGAGGTTGTATGATTGCTGAGTTCCTCCCCTTTCAGATGGGACCTCTGCCAAGCACAGGCAAGCCCTGAGGATGTGTGCTGTCTCTCCCCCTCCTCCCTGCAGCAGCTGTGCACTCCAGCACCCAAATAAGTCTTAATCACTCCATGGTGGCTCTTTTGTTCAACTGTTTTTAAACCTGGAGACCCATTTATGCAGTCAAGTTAACACAAGATTCGGGGCTTGAATCTGCATTGTTGTCTGCTTTGTGCAGTAATTTAATGGGCATGCCAAATAGTAGCTGAACAGCACTAAACCCTTGACCAACTTTTTTTTTATCTTTTGTGTACAGACAATCAATTACAAGAGGGAAAATAGAATAGTTGTTTTATGTAAAACAAGCTGCAAATTTTGTTGTATTGTCATTCACATCCTTACTACAATAAATTAGAATTCACTTCATGCAACTATAAAAGGAGAGGCCCATACTAAGTGCATTCATGACCTGTAACAAGGCATAACTACTGACATTAGGTGTAGCATTGTGCACACTTAAGATGGAAAGATGGAACAATTTTTTTTCCTGAATGTTTATGCAAGTTTGTCCTGTTTTCAACAAAACCAAGACAGAATTGTTAGCTTTAGATAAAGGGGGGAAAATAATGCATCAGCACGTACTACAAAAAGAAGTACCATGTATTAGGAGGGGTTTTTTTATTGCTTACTGCTTCAGTGTTAGATATAATTTCCTTTATAACAGTAAAAGAATATAATTTTCTGTGTCTGATATGATCGTGTGGAGTCTAGAGCACAGTGCTTTCTCAAACATCCACACAAACTGGAACCCTGGGACTGGAACCTGATTTCCTCAAAGTAGCAGTTCACAGCCAAAGCAATAGCCTGAAAGTAACAGTCAACTAAGATCAGCAGGACACATTTTACAGAAGAAAAAACTCCAGGGTCAGAATAGCCTAAATGGTAGTGGTAATGAAGATATTACTGAGATGAATTGGCTAAATTTACAGCAAAATTTTCTATCTTGATTATGAGGTATCTTGTTGACTGCTCTGTGCAGGAAACAGTAGTCTTTGTGCAAGGGGAAAATGTCTGTGATGCTGTAAAAGTCTGGAGTGTATATTTATTGCATAACAATTTAATCTTCTTGAGTTGGTAAGGTTTGCCACAATCATAACATCTTAAGAAACCAATGGAGCTTTAAGGACACACCCTCAGTTTAGAATATCCCCTCTTTTCTATGATAATTTTGATCTGCTTTTAAGAAAAGAAAGAAAGTTTTCTTCAGTTTGGGGTGGAGAAATCTATTTTTACCACATGGTGTTAAATGCCAGAAGGAATTCTCTTACTTGAAATTATGCAAAGAAAACCTTTATGACATATTTCAATAGTGACATTCTAAAATTCAAATTGTCTTGGCTGATAAAGGACATCTTCATAGGTTTAAATATTTTAATGGATAGAATTATCTGTGTTACTTTTAAAAAGGGGAAGAAACCTAAAAAAACATTGGAAGCAAAATTTTATCTTCTGATGTACTCAGATGCATGTGTAAATCCATCACTATTGTGAGACCTGAACAGATTTGGGTGATATGTTTATTTAACAAGCAGAAAGAACCATGTTACTGTAGGGCTTCTGAAAAAAAAAAAAACCTATATTTGAATATTAAGACCCATGAAACAAAGAAAATTATTTTTTTAAGAAAAGAATATTATTTCCTTTTTGATAACAGAATAATGTGTTTTAATGGAAGGCAATTAATAAATATAACAATGTCAGCCACCAGCAGGAGCAAGAAATTTTGCACAGAGAAATAGCCTTTTCTAAAATAGCTCCTTTATTTTTTGTCCTGTGCTTCCACCAGAGGCTAAAACTATGACATCGTGGATGCTTGCCTCATGACACATTGTTGTATCCACCATGGAGGACAGCATGATAAATTTTCATCAGGTAGTCTGTCACCCAGCTGGCAGACAGTGAAATACAATACTGTCAGAGGGCAAGCCAACAAAGAAAAGAGGGTAGAGACACAATGTTTTTCTGTCCTTTGGCCACCATTTTAGTTATGCTAATCCAACAAATTAAATGCAAGAAAATCTACTTAAAAGGCAATGTTACGCTCCAGCTGCCAAAAAGATTGAGAAATTGCAGTGTGATGCTGCTTCCAAAATGTACCCTCTCCACGTGCACATGCACACGTACACACACACACAGAGCACGGTCATGTCACGCTCAAAAGTAATGCTGAATGTTCCATTTAAAAGGAGGCAAACAGAAAAGTGAGTAGATTAGTGTTGTTAGAACAGCTGGAAATGAGTTTTTCTGTCTGGCCCTTTTCAATTTGTTCTTATATATTGGATTAATATTCTGTTTTCTGCTGTAAGAAAGAGGGAAAATAGAAGCACCAGATAAAAAAATTCCTAGTTTAGCATTTCCATTGTCTTTCATGTTAATGTGTTTTCCCAGGCTCAGGGCTGAACCTTACACTATGGGGCAGTCTGTAATAATTCCTCTGAACAACTGTTATGCTTGAGTATTAATATGTAGATCCTTGTTAGACCATTTTCTACTCCTTTTTCACCACAAACCATGTGTACAAACATATTTTCTTTCCTGTGATTTAAATAAACATTTGTTTCTATGTTTTGGGATTCACCAAGAGTTACTTGTAATAAGGACCAATCTCATTTTGGTTTCTATTATTTTAATTTTAGATTATGTTTTAAAGTTAATAAGTAATTGTTTTATTGAATTAAAAGAGGACCATTGTTCCTATATTTGTAGATTCTTTCCCAAGAGCTTCTTCTGTACCAGCTCAATTCTCTTGTGATTGTATGTCTTTCTTAGACAAGCTGGAAGGGGGTCATGTTACTAAACTGAGATTTTACTTTTTTAACAAAAGGAGTTTGGGTCTTTTAACTGGTAACTGAGGCCAAACACAGAACTATGAAACTGAATAAAGACCAGTCTCTCCAGGCAGCTTTCTGCTCAAGGAATTCAAAGATGGCAAATTGGACCTTGAAGCAGAAAATCTATGAGCTGTTTTGCTACTGCAAATCTGAATTTCTCAGGAAGAGAGTAGGTGTACTTTCCTCCTCAGAGGATAGGGTGGGTATCCCCTGACAGGGGGGAAAGTGTGTGAGGGGTTTCCACATACAAAGCTATTTATCCGGCCAATTACAGACAGAAAGAACCAAATAGACAGAAAGAATCCAATAAACTCTAATGAGAGAAAGATTAGAGAGAACGTATAGATCTTTGGCTCATCACAAGATGACTACACACAGCCTTGTTTTGGGGCTTCAGTAGCCCTCAGCCACTCAGCAGCAGCCTGGGAAAGGTCTGAAAAGGGATTCAAACTATTATTTACCATAAACCTTCCAGCATTATTATTTCTTAATTACCAAGACACCTGGTGAAAAATTGCAGCTCCAGAACAACAGTCCAAGCATGCCATTAAAGACACAAACATGATGGCAGCACTGGCTGTTTTAGTATCACACTCTGCAACTTGTTGCCTGAGAAGGTGTGAATCACAAATCCCCATGGCTGACTCCACACAGAAAGTGCAATTTCAAGTGATTTTTTTAGGTTCCCTTAAACCAACCCTGGAATATGAAGTAGGTGCAGTAAGGGCTTGAAGCTTGACACACTTTGAGGAAGAGGCTGAACAGTGCTTCACCATGGGACCTCCCTATGGGGCTTTGGGCTCTCCATGCTGCTTCTGCCGTGGGCAGAGGTCCTGGGAATGGCACTTTGGTTTCTCACTTCTGCTTGGCAAAAAGCAGCAGACCCCAGAAGCTACCTGAGAAAGCACAGTACAAGTGGAAGATTTAAAATTTCTGCCATGGTTCTTTTACAGTGAGACCCTGGGTTTGTTACACTTAGCAGGAGCATGTAATACACCTGCCTTTGGTGCCTTTCTATCTGGCAGGCAGCTGACTGGGGAAAATTACACACTTGTACATTCAGCATAGCTTTAAGTAGTTTGTGTCTTAATGAATTAAAATTCCTTGGCCTATTAAGAATGAATAACCTCCAAATTTTGGCCTATTTCTACACCATGGCTTCAAGTAAATCCAGACCTTTCAGAAACCTTTACTACCATTAATTATATCTACCATCTATTATATTCCCCAGCCTTTCAGCTATGCTTTCTGTGTTCTCTCATTTCCAGTCTGACTGACACAACAGTTGCTTTCAGGGAATGTAATCTTTAATAATCAACTTACTAGCAGATGTTTTCTGCAGGCTATAATATTTCTCATCTAAAAAGACATTTTTCTACCAAGAAAATATAAGGGTGGTAAAAAAAACCAAACCAAACCAAAAAAAAACCCTAACAAATTGTAGCTGTAAAAAGTAGTCATTTCCTCTGCTGTAAACTTAATCTCATCACTCTTGTGATGTGATTTGGCAGCCAAATCTTCAGGGTGTCTGCTGTCAATGCCCATTATTGGACTTTCTGCTGAATGCTGGAGTGTTGAAGCACCATCACAAATAAATTATGCTGCTGACTTGTTTTTTCACAGTGATGGCTGAACCACAATAATAGCAATAATAACACTTTTTACTCCACAACTGACCATACTGAAAACTGGAGAAGAAAATAGAAGAGGTCCCAAAACTTATATCAAGTAATCTAAATTGTTCATCCTCCTCTGCAAATCATAGTTTTACAGCTATTTACATATAGAACTAAAAAGTGTTGATGTATCCCTAACCAAAGTTTATAAATGTTGAGAAAATACAGTGAACCCCTATTCCTTAGCTGAGCTTCATGTAGCTGCTATCACAGTACAAAATCAGATCCTTAACAATCCTTCTGGTCTTGAAACTTAATTTTATGGGTGTATCAAATGCAAGAACATCTAGGGTCCCAGAGAATTTTATGCCCTTGAGTCTTAGTCTAAGGTCACAACCTGTGGCTGTCAAAGAAAACAAGGAAAGAACATATGGCATGTGTGCAGACCTATTATTAAAGTTATTGAGCATTTCACCTACCACATATTCAAATAGCTAAATTTAATACTTATAATTCTTACAAAACTCAATTAATCCAATTTATCTATATAGCTATCGGAGTTTCTTGTGTAGCATTGTGAGTTTAGCCCTTTGTTTCCTTGTAAAGATAATAATAAATAATATTAGGCAATCTGTGCCACATCTCCAGCACCTGTAGCCTCAGACAGGCAAGGCCCAGTGCCTTCACACACTGCTGTCTGTCTGCAAAGGGCAGCAGAATTGGGCAGCAGGAATGGGGGTGGAACTGCATGGTTCAAACTGTGGAAACTGCAGCCAGCATCTGAGCCCAGTGGCTGCATGAAATCTTAGGTCCTGATGTATGAGTCACAGCAGATCTGCTTTAGTGATAGAACCTGAAACAGAACTTGTGGCTGTGAAGTCTGTCTCTTTGGGGTGCTGTCTCATCACTGAACAGCCAGTGGCCATTCGCATTCCTACCAGCAGCTAACAGAGAACTGGAAAACACAGCATGCATTTTCCTCTCATTAATTTCCCTGTCTTGCCAGTCTTTTTATGCTCTAATTAGACTCAATAACATGTCCAAACAGCTCCTGAATGGGAGATCTCACATGAGAAATTCACATTTGACAAAAATATGCAGCAGGCAAGCCAGAAGGCAGCTCCTGTTGCAGTGACCAGAGTCAGAGTACAACTTTTACTCCCACAGCAAGTGTAGAAAATCCTCAGTCTGAGCTGAGAAAACACACTGGAACTCCTCTTAGGAAAATGAAGCTATATCACTTCAGAATTCTGTAGCAGGACACATCTGCTTTTCCTATCCAGTTCAGCATTAATCATTACAATACAACTCAATAAAAATTATTGGTTTTTTGTCAAATCCTATCACTTTAATGTTGCAGTGTGGCCACTGTACACTTTTATTTAGGGCACACCTGAAGTCTGTAAATTTGAAAAGGCTCACTCCAGAGCCAGAAATCAGCAATTAAGCAGTTAGGACATGTTGAACACTGAGTGTGAAGCTTATTGCACAGTAGCAGGGAAAATTAATATAAGATTATCATCTTTATTTTAATGTTATTGACATTTCAGCATAACCCAAATCTTTTATAAAAGTAGGGTCTGCATTGTACTAAATAATGAATAGAAACACAAAAAGTGATCCTACCCTGAAGGATTTCCAGTCCATTGGGAACAGAGTGTAATGTAAAAAATAACATTCGGGCAAAATATACAATCATGACATTTTTGAAAAAAATGCTTTTTTCATTATCATAATAGTAATGTTTTCCCTACTCAGGACTAGATTTATTAACTGAACTGACTATCACAACCCTTAGAGCCATAACGTGAAACCTTCAGGCATCATTCCAAACACCAGAGCCCTAAGCAATATTAAAATACTCCTCCCACAATTGGAGGGGGAGGGGAGAGCTGGGCATCCATGTTAGGATTTTGCAAAGCTGCTTTCACCCCAAAAAGAGCATGACAATAGTGCTCTTGAAGTTTTGTAGACTTCTGGTAATTTTTAAAGAGTCCATAGGTTAGCAACAGGCAAAATGGGAGCCAAAGCAGCCACAATACCAAAGGAAGCATCAGAAACTAAAGTTGGAAAAGCATTTTTCAGCACCAGGCCAAAAGAGTTCATAGCACAATCAAATAATGGATTTTCTGTATTTGTATTGA